AAAAAGCTCCAAGAGTCATGAGACAATATGGGCCTAAACCAAGGTTGTGACAGAAATGGTAGAGAGCAGGGCAACAGTTCCAAAATGTAGCTGTTAGGGTGTGTAATTTAGTTAACTTGAGGAGGAGATGTATGCCAGGTATAGAGATCGAAATTCAGTAGGTAGAAGCCTCTCTAGGAAAAAACCAATTCAGATCTGAACTCGTAGGACAAGAAGTAATAGGGGAGACTCCGTGTATAAAAAGTGTTTTCATTACTTATCTCATTTAAATCTTTCAAAAAGCTCTCTGAAGTGGCTAGTGTAATTATTTACCTGCTAATGAGACACTGTTCATGGGGCTAAGCAACTCATTCAAAATTAGACAGGTAGCAACCTCTGACTTGAGGTTGAATGTTTTTTTACTGTACCATAACCTAGCAAGGCATAATTACATATTTACCCTTGCTGGAGACTGAATGGTTACACTTAGCCCAGAGGATCACAGGATAAATTTAAAAATCCAGTAAACAAGCCTGAAAAGTAAGGACTTACACTGCCATCTCAGCTCATGAAGGAGGAGGGCTAATGACAAAAAAAGGTGTTTGAATGGTTTGGGTTAGACTGTCACTTGAACATTATAATTACTGGGGTTCAGGAGATAAGCAACGTCGGTATCCGTGATCTAGACAGAAAGTAAGGCCTTGCTGCCTATACAAAGCAGTTAATTCCTTGCCTGATTCATTTCAATGCAAACACAAATACTATACCTCTGGAAACCACTTGCCATGTCCATATAATTTTAAATTGTCAAACTTTTTTGGAATACATTCATGGAGCGCATTAAATCAGCTATTTTGCTTTGGGAGATATAATTTTATATGTTATACTGCTCTACTGAAATGCCATACTGCATTTCTCAGCAGTCTTCATTGGCTAATAATTCAATTATAAACACAATTCATTATTTTCATGTTAGATTAGAAAGCCTTTTGCACTGGCTTGAGCTATCTTCCCAGAGCAAATGGGGCAGTTTATAAAAGGCCAAACCACAGGGTGGAGCATTGAAAATATGAAGCATCATATAAAATTTAACCATATTAAACGGAAATCTGCCTTACAGCAAGCTGGTTATCAGCAGCTCAGGGCAGCTAAACTTCCCAGATAAAGGCTGGTGCATGACAGCTGGGAGGGGCTCATGTAGTAGTCCCTTTTTCTCTATTTCTTCACCCTGTTTTATAATTTATTGTCTTTAGTGCATTTCCTCTGCCGCGTTTTTTTTTCCCTGTCCCCTAGTGAGCAGAGGTCGCTCTATCTCTGTGATCCCTTCCCTGAGTTCTTTGTGGATTCTGGGCCGGCTAGTTTCAGGCTCAGCTGAAACTACTTGCTTCTATTTCTTTCCTTTTCTATGGTATAATTTTTATAAAGGGGGTTATAAGAAGCAAGGCAGAGATTTATGGGATGAATTATCTACTGATAGATAACATCAGAAATGGGCAGATGAGAACCACTCACTTACATGGGCACAAGCAATTTTTGCCAGTATTAATAAAATGTCTTCTGATCAATCAGTTGGATGGTCTCCTCTCTGCATTTTAAATCTCTGAACATTGATTCATCATTATGGTAACTTTACTGATATGCATGGAAAACAAAATTGTTCAGGTTACTCCTCTTAATAGTCACTTGGCATTGAATTTCAACTACTACACCAAATTTATCTTCCACCAAGTGTCACAGCTCCAAGGCTATCTGGTCCAGCAAATCCTGACAAAGTCTCAATTTACTATCAAGGTCTGATGCCTCAATATTTCTATTTCATTCTAAATACACTGTTCATTTTCTTAATTTTTTACATGTACCCAGTCTTTGGCGTATATAAGACCAACACTCAAGTTTCCCCAGAAATGGAAAGCATTTCTGGTTTGATTTTGATAATTACATCACAGTTTGTTTTGTTTTATCTGGAATCGTGACTTCTGGATAGCTATATAGATTATTCCATAAATGACTTAAATACTTTACAAGAAGAAAAATTAATTCTTTAATATTTGGTATAACATCATCATTACAACAGAAAATTTGATAGCAGAAATTGGGCAAATTGTGAACTTAAAAATTAACCTTTAAATATCAATGGATTATTTTTGTTTATTAGACTCACCACTTTTTTAAAAAGAAATATTGAAACCTCTTTAAAAAAATAGTAAATATAAGAAACAGATTCAAAATTATTTGGCAGTGTTTTTTTAAGCAATTATCTTTTCCTTTTGATTTTATTTATTTATTTATTTATTTGAGATTTTATTTATTTATTTGACAGAGATCACAAGTAGGCAGAGAGGCAGGTGGTGGGGGGGAAGCAGGCTCCCCACTGAGCAGAGAGCCTGATGTGGGGCTCGATCCCAGGACCCTGGGATCATGACCTGAGCCGAAGGCAGAGACCTCAACCCACTGAGCTACCCAAGCACCCCTTCCTTTTGATTTTAAACAGTCACTGTTTTTTTAGTTTACCCCTCTGTTCATTCAGCATTGTCTAAACACTGCCATCCCCTCCCTCACTTGATTTCCACCACGTCTTCCCAGTAAATGAGAAGTCAGTATTTAGTGACAAGTTGCCTCAAAACTGTTATCCTCTTACTTATACAGCCAGAATGATAGAGGGATAAGGTACTGAAGCATGCTATACTGGGACCCTAAAAATCTCGCTGCACTCACTAGTAACCTAATAAACAGGGCCTCAGTTTCTCCATTTGCAAAGTCAGAATACTTTGGTATGATCTCCAATGGCCCCAAATCTGTAAATAATAAGTTTGAAAATAACTACCTTAAAGACCATTAAATAACAAAAGTCAAACAAGTAAATTTGACGTTCTAATTGGCTTTATTAAATGATTCCTGAATCAGGGGCACCTGGGTGGCTCAGTGGGTTAAAGCCTCTGCCTTCGGCTTAGGCCATGGTCTCAGGGTCCTGGGACCGAGCCCTGCATTGGGCTCTCTGCTCTGCAGGGAGCCTGCTTCCTCCTTTCTCTCTCTGTATGCCTCTGCCTACTTGTGATCTCTGTCAAATAAATAAATAAATAAAAATCTTTTAAAAAAAAATGATTCCTGAATCAGGCAGCACCCCATCTATTGAGTAGAGAGGAGTTCCAAGGAGTTGGAAGGTTTTTATAGAGGGAGGGTCATTGGAGCAAGAAAGTTGTTAACAAAAGAAAAGGATTATTCTAGATGAGGCTGCTTTCTAGGGGGAAAAGCAAGGTGTCATCATGCAGATAATCTCATCTTTTTAGGGGGAAGGAGAAGGCTCAAGTGGTAGACTCATTGGTGTAGACTGAAAAATTCCTAGCTGACCTTTTTAAGACTAAATTTCTGTGGGAGGTTGAAACTGCAATTAGATTATGTATATTATACACTAGTTTGGGAACTTGGACCAAGTGACAACATTTGGGGCCTGTGGTTAGTTGATTGGTTGGCTGGTTGGTTGGTTGGTTGAACAAGACAATTCATTAACAAACTAAATCAATGTTGATGCGGTACAGTAAAACTGAAATTTGGTTAAAGAAACAATTCCTTGACTTTCAGAATTAGCTAATCTTAATAAGCCACTTTTACTATCTCAGTATTTCTTTAAACTTGCTTATTTGGTAACTCTTAGAGTAATTTGAAAATAAACTTTAAAGTCATGTAATACATACTTTTATATGTTAAAATGCAATTTCTCTTATTTTTTAAATCAAGGTAGAGTCTTTCAAGAGCTAAATTAGTTCTACACCCTTTTGAAAACTAAATTGTGTCTATGAATCCCCTACAACTTATTTTCTATGGTAAGAGTGGTCTGAAAGAATCTCCATGGCTTTCAGAATAACCAAATTTGCACCAGTGAGAATCTCTAATTTTTGTCATATTTATCAGCTCTCTATTAATATATGCTTATTAAAATTATATTCTATTTGTATTGTCATTTTCCCATTTAGAGATATTATCCTTAGTTTTAAAACTTAAAAGAATCACAATCTTTGTTAACTGCAATATTGAGTAGATTTCTCCCATCACAGGACAAGACAGAATAAGTTCTTGATGAAGCGTCTTCTGAACTAGGCTATTTCTAGGAAATTAAGCAATCTAAGCCATCCTCCAGAAATCTTTACTTGATCTAGAATCCCAAAAACTTCAAATTAAACTAGGAAAACACCTTTCCTTCAAAAGGAATCCTCCAGATTCTTAGAATTTACATATACAAAGGACTTTGGTGTAGAGTGGGCAGCCAGAGGCCTAAAAACAGGAACTAATTTTAAGAAAACTATATGATTATTGAATTTGCAACTTGGCTATGGCATGACAGATTTATTATTACTATTACTATTATTATTATTATTACTATCATTAGTATTATTATTACCATTAGCATTGGAAGAGGAATTAAGAACTCTTGATTATCCTAAAATACTGAACAGGGATATCTCCTCTGATTGCTCTCTTCAGAAATATTCCTTTAAAATTCTTCTCCCCTCCATTGAATGTTATTTCCTCTTTGGTAGTAATATAAGACTTCTTTTTCATTCTCAAATTAATATATGTACAGGAGGAAACTAACATTTATCAGTCAAGATTTATTTTTGTTACACTTTACAAGTAAGGCATAAAGAAACAGAATCTCAATGTATTTCCTCCAAGGACAATAAACTGTACCTCACTGCTATTATTCAACAACTTAAAAAAAAAAAAGGATATTTTAAATGGGGGGAGACACTTCTTATCAATAACAAATTTCATTTGGTAAAGATAAATTAAGCAATACATGCATGCAATCTAACAAAAAAATGAGAGAGAGAGATATAGGAACAATTTATTGATGAAATGAACTAATACAAAATATATAAATTGCCAATGCATTTGGAACTGAGATTATAAATTATTTTCACAGTCAACTAAGGTGTGATTAACATTTTAGAACAAAGGTTATTTAACATTTAAACACAAAGGTTTCTCCATGAATTACTTTGGATTTATAGAATCCCTCTTACCAGCATTTCTTTTGAAGCTGCACTTTATGAAAGATGAGATGTTCAAGCACCTTATTCAGCTGAGGACTATTCTTCTGAACACATGACCAGGCAGCAACACAGTGCCAGAGCAGGTGGTTAACTTCATATCCTCCCTGATTAAGTTTCAAATGTTCCTGGAATTAAAACATAAAAATATATCTGGAAATGAGCTATTTGACTTGAATAAATGTGAAAATAAACTTAAAATATTCAAAGAAAATGCATTATTTTCTTAAACTTCATGTTACACCAAACAGAGCAACTTACTTAAGTATATTTTTGTAAATATATATAGTGTGAGGGAAGAAAATAATTTTCCATCTACCCTTCCAGGTTCTTGGCTGAGACCTTTGCACCCCCTGTAATAAAGGACAGATTAACAGGAGAAAATCAAACATAAGTTTAATAACATGTATACCTCTTGTACACATGGGAGAGACCCAGGAATACTTTTCAAAATGGCCCAAGACATTATCTTATATACCTTCTCTAGCTAAAGACAAAAGGGGGGATGTGCAGTTATGGATGTTAACAGGAAAAGCCTAGTAAACAAGGGTAAGGTTGTTACACAGAATTTGTCATTGCCTTCTCCACTGATAAGAGTTTCTAGAGATTTAGAGTTACCCTTCTCTTAGTACAGAGGGAGACAACCAAAGGAATGGACACCTCTCTTAAAATGTAAATATCTCTTACAAAAAGGGTAACTTTTACTCAGTTTTCACAGCTTCTCCTATGTTTGTGATTTCTTAAAAATAATCATCCCAAAATAATCCTTATGCCAAAGAGTCCTATTTTGGGGCAGCAAATTTTGATTCCCTTCGATTGTTAACCTGGACATGGTCAATGTCTACTAAGTAACTATTTCAAAAGTCTACAAATTCAGGGGGAAAATGGGCTGTTGATTCTTTGTTTTTTCTTGAAGTGCTTCCTAACCGTTTCATAGATTTAACTGGTCTGTTAAAGTTAGGGGTATGAAGAAACCTGATTTTATTGTTAGACAGTGATAACATAACTCATTTAATTGTTTCCAACAATACAGATTTGAATACACATCTTGTGATATGTATTTAATATTTCATTCTTTTATGCTCAAAAGAAAGACTTAAGAGAGACTCCAAAAGGGTTTATAATTCTCATTTATTATACAAACAACATCATATATACAACTTAAATATAATTGTCATGTTAATTATTAAGTTGAAAGGCCAGATTCATATATAAATTTTAAACTAAGATATATTAGGTTTCTAGTAAACTGTTTAATTAAGTCCTACATATGCGTATTGATCTATTTTTTATGTTGGCAACTCAGATGCTAGAGATAAAAGTCATGAGTAAGATAAAGTCTCTGTACAAGGCTCCCGACTGTGGGAAAAAAATCACTCAGAAAGGTAAATGAAAACAAGCCAATGTTTAGAGTGTTAGAATATTCCATAGAAAAGCTTTATTTTAAAATAGTGTAAGACGGTGGCTCAGTTGGTTAAGCTCCAACTCTTGATTTGGGCTCGGGTCATGATCTCAGGGTTTTGAGATCAGGCTCTGAGATGGGCACCATGCTCACTGTAGAGTCTACTTGTCCCTCTCCTCCCCCTGCTTGTGCATTCTCCCTCTCTCTCTCTCTCTCTCTCTCTCTCAAATAAATAAGTAAAATCTTAAAAAAAAAAAAAAGTTAAGAGGGCTCTTTTAGCACAGTTTCAAAACACTGAGCAGAGCATTAAATGACTCCCAGAGAACTTTTTTTTGCCCCCCTCCCTCCCTCCCTCTTTCCTTCCTCTCTTCCTTCTTTCCTTTTTTTCTTGGCTTTATGACCACTTCCTACAGTTCTTTAATCTTCTTGCTTTGCTGCCCAGCTTGGGACTATGCTCCTTTGCAAATTGGATCCTTTACACAGAGGCCAAACAGATATTAAAGAAAGAGACAGACCACTCCATATTGGTAGGTGATAGGTCTAATAAGCCAGGGAACTTACTCAGGAAGCCTGTCTTGGGTGACTGCAAGACGAGCAAACCTCTGCGCTCACCTGAATCCTAAGGTTTATAGGAGGCCTTAACTGGGTTCAGACACTTATACCACCCAGATGATCCCAAGAACACCTTGCTCTCTCAGGGCTACATCCTTGACATGGCTCCAGCTGTGAGAAGAGTGAGCAGAACATGCATCCCAGAGAGAAGCCTCGGATTGCCCAGCTCCAGCTCATGAGTCAACCAGTGGCCCCAACCTCTCGATTATGTCCTTTAACAAGCTATCAGTTACAACTTGTACAATATGTATTTTGAGAAGTCCACCTACAAAAGTGCTATTAACCTAGTGTTGGCTGAAATTTCAGATATCCACATCAGCTTGAATTTTATACAAATTTGAGTACACAAGCTCTGAACATCAGACCAGATGCTCTTTTAAAACAGAAATGAGCCTTGAAGGATGGGTTGTATTTTGGCTGTTCAGGGATAGCTTTTTGAGCTTCACCCTTGTTTTCAATCATCTGGGGGTTGGTTGACATTGTCATAAAAGGACCTCTTAACACAAATGTGCAACTTAGATAATAGGATATGAATCATAGAATAATGCTTCTAATTTTAAAGAACCTGTGTCTCAATCTAACCCAATCTTAGTAACCATAATACTGCAGTATAGCACCAAATGTCCCATATTTAGATGACTTTGGCTTCCCGAGTACTTAAAGCATTAGAGGATGAGACTGCTAATCACACTTGAATGTAAACTCTGTGTGTTTCCTAGATTTCAGAAAACTACTTGTACTTTAGGACAGATGCAGCTATTTAGTAAAGGGTCTACCACATTTCAATTGACCTTCATCTACTATCTCCAAAAAACCATGTTGTTATTTTCATGAGACAACTGTACTCAGCAAATTCAGCTCTGCTAGTGAGCAACATACAGAGTGGAAAACTCAATCCAGTGTTCTGGCTCTGAAAGCCACAGAGCTAATTAAAGTGCACCATTTGTCAAAGTCAATGGAAACCTTGCATCTGGATCAGCTTTGAAGGATATTAAAAGAAGAAATGGGTTCTAGCACCAGGGAAAGGAAATTTCCTATGCTTAAATAGAACCAACACCCATACTGTATGTATCCTAACATGTATATCCTACGGAATTCTTTAACTTTTCAGCAATTTTATGGCAGCACTTGGAAAACAAATTAAATGCTTGTGCTTTTACTCCAATGCTGATAAGTATACTAAAAACAAAGTATTTTGCAGTGGTCAAAATATGCTGTCACGGACCTTTTAGCATTACCGGAGAATGAGGGCTATAGGAATAAATCCTCAAATCTTCCAATGTGGCATGTCAGTAACAAAAAAAGGAGGGGGGATGAATACAGATGTATTGTTTATACTCCCATTTTCCTCTCTGATTCTTCCTGTCTTCTCCCAGTAGGTGAGAGAGATGGGTACTGAATGGGTAAGTACTCAACTGAACAGGAAAGGCTGGCTTAGACCAAGCTATACTCAAGAAATTGAGCTGAAACTGGGGGAAAATGTTCAAACATGTAATCAAGCACTGAATTAGTTATCTGAACCAGAAATTCTAGCAGCATTGTGGCTACACTACCTTTCCAATTCTTTCTATTGTGTGGGAATGAGAGGAGAAAACGGAGAACAATAAATCTGATATGCTAAAATCTGTTATAATCCCCTCACAGAATCAGAGGTATAGAGCTAAAATAGAACTTAGAAAAGATTGAAACTATGCTCTTTGTTCTTCGTGGAAAAAGGCACAGACTTAGTCACTTGTCCCACACTAAGCAGAATTTTTTTTTAATTTTTAAAAATTTATTTATTTGAGAGAGAGAGAGAGCTCAAGACCGAGGGACAGAGTGGGGCCGGGGTGGGGAGAAACAGAGATGGACAAGACAACTCTGTGCTGAGCACAGAGACGGACATGGGGCTCTATGACCTAAGCCAAAACCAAGAGGCTAACACTTAACTAACTGAGCCACCCAGGCACCCCTAAGCAGATACATTCTTCTCATGTGTTGACATTTTGCCCCTTCCAGCTCAGGCGAAGCTGTACTGCAGGAACCTTCCATTTCCTTGTAGCTTTTGTACAGCAAGAGTGATAAGAACATAGATCTCTTCTTTTGTTTTTTAGATAGCATCTTCTTTTTTAAAAAATATAATAATTTCAGAGGTAGAATTTAGCGATTCATCAGCTGCAAACAACACCACTCATTACTTCAAGTGCCCTCCTTAATGTCCATTACACAATTACCCAATCCCTCCAGCCAGCTCCCCTTCAGCAACCCTCAGTTTGTTTCCTATAGTTAAAAGTATCTTACGGTTTGCCTCCCTCTCTGTTTTCATCTTATTTTATTTTTCCTTCCCTTCCCCTCTGTTCATCTGTTTTGTTTCTTAACTTCCACATATGAGTGAAATCATATGGTATTTGTCTTTCTCTGACTTATTTTACTTAGCCTAATACCCTCTAGTTCCATCCATGTTGTTGCAAGTGGCAAGATTTCATTATTGCCAAGTAATAGCTTTTTGATGGCTGAGTAATATTCCACTGTAGTTATATACAATGACCATTAGGGCTCTTTCGATAGTTTGACTATTGTGGACATTGCTGCTTTAAACATTGGGGTGCATGTGCCCCTCTGAATTGGTACATTTGTATCCTTTGGATAAATACCTAGAAGTGCAATTGCTGGGTTGTAGAGTAGCTCTATTAAATTTTTTGAGGAAGCTCCATGCTGTTTTCCAGAGTGGCTGCCCCAGTTGGCATTCCCACGAACAGTGTAAGAGGATTCCCCTTTCTCCACATCCTTGCCTACATCTGTTGTTTCCTGAGTTGTTAATTTAGCCATTCTGACCCATGTGAGATGGTATCTCATTGTGGTTTTGATTTGTACATCCTTGATGCTAAGTGATGTTGAGTATTTTTTTCATGTGTTTGTCGGCCATTTATATGTCTTCTTCGGGAAAGTGTTTGCTGCTTTCTTTTGGAGTATATGTGAGAGAAGGAAATACATATGACCCAGAGATTAAAGTTTGTTTTTTGAGATATATCAGCCTATAATGTATGTGAACAATTATATGGCTCACTGTAGCTCTATTTGCATAATACATAGTTTATTACATACCAAGGAATTCCATGATTGGGACAGTTTCATGTTGATCACTAATATCCAAGTTAGAAATTAAAAAACAATTTTTCACTATACTAGGGATTATTTTATTTCCTCAATTCTGAACCATTTAAAAACACTTCAGTAGACTTTAATAGCATTTTAAATGTTATTACATATGAGTTATGGAAGCATCACATATTACAATTGCTGTCATTAATAGCCTGTACTTTATGAACTTTCCTTTTAATACAAATATAATATCTTAAAATCCTCATTTATAAGTTAATCTAAATTACATTGTTATTTCCAATTATACAGCTGAGATGAAATCTATAAGGAAAAAGGTATTATGACATTACTCTATTTAAAGTAGTAGTGGTGTATATTGATGTCTCACTACTAATACTATTAACTGCTGTCCAGAAAATGTGCATATGGCTTAGTGTTTTTGCTATTTGAACCTCTTGCCCTACCCCAACCACCAGCTAACCTCATCTTCAATAATGTTACAGTATCAGCAAGCACATTTACTTAATCATATCAATATTATCTGACTCATTATGCACTAGGATATACTCACCATATCAGAATCTATGTTCTTATGGCTTTTCTTGTTTTCCACAGGGCTAAAAATTGATCCAGAAAGGAGTTCTCTTTTGTATATAATTTCCATGGTTTTCAGAATGAATTGCACATTTGAAAAGATGTTTGGATACTTGTGATATGAGTCTCCAGAGAAACAAAGTGCTATTGTAAGAAAAATAATTTGTGATAAATATTTCATTAGTATCTTGCATTGTATTTCATTTGTCTTTTAGTTACTAAAATATAATTAAATTCAATTCTTAGATGTTGAAACTGCTATACATTTCCCCATCTAAGATTTATATGTTACGTATGACCCCTGCTGGCATAATAGGAAACTACAAGGTAAATAATACCTAAGAGTTAATATAATTCAGAACAGCAATTGCATAATGGTCAAATGTCCAATTAAGTATAGTTACCGCACAACAATGGTTGGAAACTTCCAGGTGAGTTAAAACATACTCTATTCATAATAGATACTTAGAAACTGTAATCCTACAAACAAATCATCACTGTTAACACTACATTCTCCAGTTTTATTCATTTTCAAGATGTTATTGCTGTTGATTATTTTAAAGAATATATTTTAAGTATAGCTACAATTATGTCAACATAACACTAGGTGGTATTTAATAGAATTATCTTTATGTTGTTCTTTTTGTAAACTTTTAGACAATTTTTGAATTTCAATCTATTGACAGTTGAAAAAAATGATAATAACTACTCTTTTACTGGATGGCTATATGGAGAGGAAGCAGATGCTAATGGCCCCAGGTAAAAATCATTATGTTGCTAAGGCTCTACTTAACAGTATTTGATAGAAGGGTAAAATCTAGGGATTTTATCCTTATATGAAACAAAGTTATTGGTTTTCTTGGGATAGATCTACAATAACAAGCTAATGTGAGATGTTGAAATTTTATTCAAATTTTTCAAAATTAATTTGCCACTATCATCTGATTATTTGATGAGTCACTATGCTGAACACAGTGAGGAGTTAAAAAGAGGATTATAATGTATGAAGAATTCAAAACAAGTGATATGACAGACATAAATTCTTATTCTGCTAGTCTACAGTCTTGTCTTGGTTTCAAACTGTCAGAATTTGTAGTAGTGTTGCAATTTACTGCTCAGTCTCCAAAACACTTCTACTATTATCTCCTATTCCCTCCTCCATGACTTTTTCCACCAAATATTCCCTTTCTTGTATCTTGAGTCTCTATCTCTTATCCTACAACATACTAATCTTTTCCTCTTTTGACCTTGTTTTTTTTTATTTAGTCCATTAACCAAAAAAGTTTATTTAAAACTAAAAAAAAGGTTTTTTGAAAATACAAATTGACAAGCCTTTACTAAAATCAGAAATGAAGAGAGATGGAGCACCTGGGTGGCTCAGTCAGTTAAGCATCTGCCTTCAGCTTGGGTCTTGATCCCAGAGTTTCTGGATCCAGCCCCACATCAGGCTCTCTGCTCAGCTTAGAGCCTGTTTCTCCCTCTGCCCCCACCCTGTTCATGCTCTCTTTTACTCTCTCTCAAATAAATAAAATCTTTAAAAAAGAGAGAGAGAGAGATGAAGGGACATTTTACAATAGAAATACAAGGGATAAAAAAATTAAATACAAAAGACCATAAGAGACTGCTATGAAAAATTATACACCAACAAATTAGCCTAGAATAAATGGATAAATTATTAGGAACATAAAACTGAAAAGACTGAATCAAGATAAAACAGAAAATATGAACAGAGTGATTATTAGTAAGGAGATTGAATCACTAATCAAAAATCTCCCAACAAACAAAAGTCCAGAACCGGACAGATTCACTGATGAATTCTACCAAGCATTCAAAGAGAATACCATTCCTTCTCAAACTCTTTCAAAATACAGAAGAACTTTGAAGGAACTCTTCCAAACTCATTTTACAAGACCAACATTACCCTACCAAAATCATACAAGGATGCCACAAGAAAAGAAAATTATAGGCCAATAACCCTGATGAACATAGATTTAAAAATCCCCAATGAAATATTAGTAAACCAAATCCAGCAAAACATTAAACAGTTCATACACCATGATTAAGTGGGATTTATTCCAGAGACACAGGATGGTTTAACATCCTGAAATCAGTCAATGTGATACATCACATTAACAAAATGAAAGCTAAAAATCATATGATCATCTCAATAAATGAAGAAAAAGTGTGTGACAAAAATCAACATCCATTTATAATTAAAAGAGCTCTCAACAAAACAGGTATAGAGGGAATGTAACTCAACATAATAAAGGCTGCATATGACAAATCCACAGCTAAGATATATTCAAGGGTGAAAAGCTGAAAGCTTTTCCTCTAAGATCAGGAACAAGATAAGGATGCCCATTCTCACCACTTTTATTCAACTTAGTACTGGAAGTCCTAGCCAGACCAATTAGGCAAGAAAAAGAAATAAAAGGCATCCAAATTAGAAACAAAGAAGTGCAACTGCTTTTTGACCTTGTTTTTTCATCTAAACTATTGATCTATTTCTCTTTCCCTGTATAGCTAAGCTTTCTGTAATAGTTCACCATCTCTGTCTTATGCTTAAACTTTCCCTGTACTTTGTTCACCTCCAATCTGAATTTTGCTTCCACCTCTCCAAAGGGAACCCACCCAAGATCAACAGTGATATTCTGCTTACAGAATCCCATCAACTTTCAGACTTCCTATTATTTAAGACTTCTATAGCTCTTGATGATGTTGATCTTCTTGAACCTCCCCTCTTGAGATTTCTATGTCATTACTCCCTTTTATTTCCCTTTACTGATGTATGGCACTCCAATTATCTACTAAATGTTTGTTTCCCAAGCCTTTTCCTAGAATTAATTTCTCCACCCTCAATACCTCCCACCCCAAGCTTATTTCAGCCATCATAACATGGATGACCGTCAAATCATCTACGTCAGTATATATGAAATAAGTGAATCCCAGTCTTTGCTTATTTCCCTAGTTCCAAATCTGTATTTCCAACTGCTCACTGTATATATGTATCTGAGTGACCTTCAAATTTCAACATGTCCAATGATTCTTCAAGATTTTTTCAGTGTACAGTACCATTATCTTGACTGTATTTGTAAAATTTATATGTATTTGTAAAATCTGTATTTGTAAAATCTATATGTAAAATTTTAGATTCCTCTGGAATTCCTCATTTTCCCTTACATATAGCCTACATTCAATTGATCATCAAATTTAGTGTCTTTTTCCTCCTCAACATTTTTCAAAACTATTCTACTCTATTTCATTCCCATTTTAAAAGTTCATAATCTTTAACATCTGCTCAACTAATGTCATAACTAATTGGTGCCCTGCATCCACACTCTTCTTACTCTAGTTTGGCATCTACATTGTCACTAGTATTACCTTACTAAACTTAAAATCTAGAGAGGTAGAAACTATTACAGATGAGGAAACTGAGTCACAAGCAAGGTCATGCACTTAGTTAGGTAGGAAAGTTAAAAGTAAAACCCACACAGTCTAGCCCAGAATCTGTGTTCTGCAATACTGTACTTATTACTTTTCATGAAAAATAAAAGACAGCTTATGTTCTTTATAGTGATAGTCCGAGCTACTCAAACCACAACATAAAACATTTATAAGTGTAGAAAATAAAAGATAGTCTACCGTACAAATATGGTTGAAGCCTAAATAAATGTTGCTTAAAACTTTCTAGGTGACCATGCAGGAAATATATAAAAAGTCGTAAGAAGACCAAATAGCCAATCTGTCAAAAGAAAAAGAAAAAAGTATTTTTGTGTTGCATCAATAAACATTTAGAAACTATATGGAAACTAAACCATTTTATTATTACATTTGCTTTTGATGAAACAATTTCAAACTCACTTGAGCTTATGTGCTTTTGAAATAAATTTAAAACATTTATATCAAGGTTGAAATACCGGTTCAGCCAAGAAAGTTTTATAAATCACTTCTACATTATATATAATGACCAATACTGAATGCTATTTTGTTCCATGTCCTACAGAACAGTATTTTTCGAATTGCAAGTCATGCCCCTTAAGTGACTCATGAAATCAATTGAGAGGGGATTTTTAAACAAAAGAAAGGAAAAGAAAGTATCATAGTACACTGCACAGTTCCTTGTTTTGGTATATAAATCAGTGCGTATTATGTGTATGCCGGATTGCAATGCAAAAGATATTTCTTTCTATGAGTCTCAGTCAAAACAGTTTAAAAAACATTTCTTTAGTTTTGAGAAATACTGTGCTTGGGATTCCCTTTTGAAAAAAAGTCATTGCTAAATAAACACTACTATCTTACCTCTGTGAAGTTTCATGTGTAGCAAGCTTGTTTTACATAGAATACAAAAAATGGAATATCTGCAAAAATATATGATGTGTGAAATTTTCACAGAGTATGAGAAAAAAACCCACAAACTAGAGAAATAAATGGAACACAAATTCCTAAATTGTTAAATCATAAGATTATGGAAAAAACAAATAAAACAATATCACTATCAAGATACATGTAGTCCAAATCCTCCTCACAACAATGCAGGGTAATACTGTCAGATCTACACGTAGAAAATAATAGTAATAAAGTAAAAAAGATGATTCTACAAGTCTCAGTGATTCAACCAAGACAATTTTTTTATAGATTTTATTCATTTATTTGACAGACAGATCATAAGTAGGCAGAGAGGCAGGCGGGGGGGTGGGGAAGCAGGCTTCCCGCTGAGCAGGGGGCCCAATGTGAGGCTTGATCCCAGGACCCTGAGATCATGACCTGAGCCGAAGGCAGAAGCTTAACCCACTGAGCCACCCAAGTGCCCCCAACGAAGACAATTTAACAAATAAGTGGCATGACTGAACTTTGAGCCCAAGACTATGCTGCACCAAAAGTCATGAACTTTCTATTATAGCAGAGATTTCCAAGTACTTTTATCACAAAATTCTATTGGTAAAATAAATTCTGAGAATGCACCATCAATATTTATAAATGTATCTATATATTATAAATATCCACCATTTATAGATTTAAATAAAAAGAAAACATTTATAAAGCATATCCAAGGGATCTCTTCATACAGACCACTTTGATAAAGTACAATGCTTCTCTAAGAGATTGAAGTTAAATGGGAAGTGGAAATTGTCATATCATTTAAAAGAATACTGTAGTATTCTAAGCGTGAATATTAAAATAAAATACCCCTCGTTATAGACAATGGATGAAAATTAATCAAAGGGGAAATAATTTGCAAGGATTAGAGATGGATGTTGAAAGGAAAATTCATGTTCAAGAATTTCACATCAGGGGCACCTGGGTGGCTCAGTGGGTTAAAGCCTCTGCCTTCGGCTCAGGTCATGGTCTCAGGGTCATGGGATCGAGCCCCACATTGGGCTCTCTGCTTGGCAGGGAGCCTGCTTTCCCCCTCTCTCTCTGTCTGCCTCTCTGCCTACTTGTGATCTCTGTCTGTCAAATAAATAAATAAAATCTTTTAAAAAAAAAGAATTTCACATCATACAAAATAGAAAAATACATGAAAAACAGATCACTTTGCATGATCACTGTATTATACCCCAATTTGTTCGTAAGTTTCACCTGATCCAGAGGCTCTCCCTTGTTATAACTACGCTTGGGAAAATGGTTTTATAAGCTTTCATCTATAATATTCTGAAAGCCTAAATTTTATTTAAAAATCTGCCTTTCTATATCTCTAAAATATTCTGGGACTCTCTGTGCATATTTCCTCAAGTCCCATTTGTGTACATATTCTTTCTGTAGCTTGACAGCTTGAGCTTTGCCTCTTAAACTGGATCTCTCCTTGTTAATTCCTCTTTCTTCACTCTCCCATCTTTCCTTCCTTTATTCCTTACTACCCTTCTTTCCTTCTCTTTCTATGACTACTTCTTTTAATTTTTCAGACTCTATTATCTAACAGTGAAATAGAAATACTGAATAATATTTATTATCTGTTATATTTTAATGGTTGATTATGTGCTCCATGGTTTTTTACAGATGCTTGAAGAACACTCTATATTTCTATCAAAAATATATTAAACTATTGTTGCTTATATGTTATTCCCTACACTTCATTTAAGTAGACTTTAATACTTAAGATGATTCTACACTCAGAGGTAAATAATGAGGAAAGAAGGCACACAAATTGTGAAAGTAAATAATATTATCGAATCAAATATTTGTGGCTCTTCATAATGCTGAACTATATACTACTTTATCAAAAAATGGTGCATAAGAAGGTGGGTGATGCTTCCCTAGCAATAACTTCCAGTATAGCGTACTGTCGGTATAGCATACCGTCAAAAAGAAAAGATCAAAAGAGAGGTTTCCAATTGACTGTTAAATATATAATAAAAAGTCTACAAAGTCAAGAAGGATAAATGAAATGGCTTCTTGTCTGAAATCAAAGGTACTTATAGAGCATGCTTATTTCCACTAGCTAATTTATATTATCTAGAACAATAAGGAGTAGACTTTAAAATTAGTAAATCTGAGACCCAAGGTAAATGTATAGCATTATAGCTGAGAGTCCACTGGGTTTCAAAACCTTCTCTGTTGAGACCTTGAATAATAACTTAGACTCTCGGGGCACCTGGGTGGCTCAGTGGGTTAAAGCCTCTGCCTTTGGCTCAGGTCATGATCCTAGAGTCCTGGGATTGAGCCCCACATCAGGCTCTCTGCTTAGCAGGGAGATTGCTTCCTCCTCTCTCTCTTTCTCTCTGCCTGCCTCTCTGCTTACCTGTGATCTCTGTCTGTCAAATAAATAAATAAAATCTTAAAAAAAAAAAACTTAGACTCTCTATGTCACAGTCTGTAAAATAATGGCCAATGATAGCACTTACCTTTTAGGATTTTTATAAGGATTAAATAAGTTAATATGTTTAGTTCATCTAAAGCACTGATCATTGTGCAAGGCATTGTGCAAGTTAAGTTCTAAGTATTCACAGCTATTACGTGAACCTGTGCAAATTGTCTAAACTGTCAGATGAGAAAATATAGGAATCTATATTTTAAAAATAATTTTCATAATTTTAAAATCATAATTTTAAATCATAATTTTAAAAATAAATGACATAGTGATGGGGCACCTGGGTAGCTCAGTTGATTAAGCATCTGGTTTCAGCTCAGGTCATGATCTCAAGGTTGTGGGACTGAGGCCCACATAGGGCTCCATGTTCATTGGGTAGTCTACTTGAAATTCCCTCACTACCTCTCCATCTGCCCCTCCCCCCCTCCACTCACACATGTGCTCTCTCTTTAAAATAAATAAATAAATCTTTAAAAATAAATAAATGAATGACATAGTATATATAAATTAATTTGTGCAATGGCTAAGACTTTATTTTATAGTCATTTATTGGTAGCAGAAATATAAATAGCAATGAATGGAAAATGGTCACTAAAGGGAATGAGAAGAAAAGGGGAGAAGAGCCAGACTTGCTTTATGTTTCTCCTGTCATTCTTTTATCATTAATATAGAGATATAGATATCTTTTTAAATCTCTATAATAATTTTATATTATTATAGAAGATATATAAAACAAGGAAACAGGAAAAAGAAGAAAATTTTATATTATTTTTAATATAATTTATATATATATTATAAAATTATATAAATAAAATTTATATAAATTTTATATTATTTTATATTATTATAGGAGATATATAAAACAAGGAAACAGGAAAAAGAAGGAAAAGTCATCATGAGAACATCTTGCCTCTCTTCTCCCATCCTTCTTCTATGCAAAGCCTCAGTTCTTCACACATTCAATTTCTATTATGTGCTCTCTGAATCGTGCCTGGTCTCCATAAGTCTTCTACTCCCAAACATGTCAGAGCGTATCTAGGCTTGATTTCTAAGGGTTAAATATAGTATCCTTCAAAAATTCCCTGGCTGTCATGAATATTTTTATGGTTGGTTTCTACAGTTCATAGTCAAAACTGAATAAGAAATTTTTCTTGCAAATAATACTTAATAATTTTTGCAAGTAATTCTTAAAATACATACATCCTAAAAATAAATATTCTCAAATTTTTTTCTTCTGGCTTTTCTTTATTTTCTTTGCAATAAAACCACTGCTTAACCTAAATTTTTCTGACTCATAATAAATTTTGCAATGGGCAACCATGATCATCACAGGGAGTAGAACTTTATGTCATCCAAGACCTTATAAAACATGCACCCCATGAAGATAGTTTCCCATCTTATGGCTGTAAATGACACATAATACTGAGGGAACAACTCATCTTCTCAAACTGGGCAACTAGTTAAGGTTATCTGTTGACATTTTTAAATGGAAAGTGGCATTTAAAAAGATTTAAAATAGAAAAGAAAAAAGTTACACATATGCAGACATTCATATAAACTTGACCTTAATTATATATTATTTTCTTACATAGTTGGTGAAATTATATTTTCCCAAACTACCTCCATTTGGATATCAAGTAATAATGTATTATCTACATTTAAAGAAGATTAAAATAAACTACCAAACAAGAGAATGTTCCATAATAAAACCGAATGGTCTGTTTAGATCCTAAAACAACTGTCATGTAACTACATGTAGTATGTGTAGCAATTAAAACATATTTAGAATATTTTAAAACATACCTTTATCAGTTTTATTTCAACTGTATATAAGTATGTCTTTTGTAATGCATCACAACAGAGTCTGTATAAAACTGATTCCGCAACAAAAAATAAGGTAGGCAGATGATCATAATCAAAGGAAGCATGGTCCAGGGAAGCATAAAGCATATTTAAAGCTTCTGAAATATTAAAAAGGTAGAAACCATAATTTGAAGATCTTGCTTTTGTCTACATGCCACAATTAAGCCTTACAATTAACTATTTGTTGTCACCAAGACCTGACTGTGGTTTTAAAATATTAAAAAATTTAAATGTTAAATATTTACAAATTCTTTGACACCCCTTCCATTAAGAAGTGAAATCTAAAAAAAGAAAAAAAGGTGAAATCTATACCCCTTTCCCCTTGAACCTGAGTAGGTCTTGTGACTGCTTTAACCAATAAAATGCTAGATGAGAAAAGGCAATAGAGCTGCCACTTGGATCTCTTTCTCAAGATACTAGCTTTGAAACACTTAGCAGCCACTTAGGAAGTCTAATAACTCAGAAGTTACTAAATTGGAGAGACTACAGAGCTAGAGATAGAAGAGAGAGAGAGAGAGATGCCCAAGGAGTTCCAGCTGTTCCAGCCAACACAAAATAGATCACAAGGCCATACAAATAATAATGGGGAAATGAGGCAGAACTGGGTGATAAAAGAAAGGTTGATACCCAGGATCTATAAAGAACTTCTCAAACTCAATACACACAAAACAGATAATCATATCAAAAAATGGGCAGAAGATATGAACAGACACTTCTCCAATGAAGACATACAAATGGCTATCAGACACATGAAAAAATATTCATCATTACTAGCCATCAGGGAGATTCAAATTAAAACCACATTGAGATACCACCTTACACCAGTTAAAATGGCCAAAATTAGCAAGACAAGAAACAGCGTGTGTTGAAGAGGATGTGGAGAAAGGGGAACCCTCTTACACTGTTGGTGGGAATGAAAGTTGGTGCAGCCACTTTGGAGTACAGTGTGGAGATTCCTCAAGAAATTAAAAATAGAGCTTCCTTATGACCCTGTAATTGCACTACTGGGTATTTACCCCAAAGATACAGATGTAGTGAAAAGAAGGGCCATCTCTACCCCAATGTTTATAGCAGCAATGGCCATGGTCGCCAAACTGTGGAAAGAACCAAGATGCCCTTCAACAGACGAATGGATAAGGAAGATGTGGTCCATATACTCAATGGAGTATTATGCCTCCATCAGAAAGGATGAATACCCAACTTTTGTATCAACATGGATGGGACTGGAAGAGATTATGCTGAGTGAAATAAGTCAAGCAGAGAGTCAATTATCATATGGTTTCACTTATTTGTGGAGCATAACAATTAACATGGAGGACATGGGGAGATGGAGAGGAGAAGGGAGTTGAGGGAAATTGGCTGGGGAGGTGAACCATGAGAGACTATGGACTCTGAAAAATAACCTGAGGGTTTTGAAGGGGTGGGGGGTGGGAGGTTGGGGGAGCCAGGTGGTGGGTATTATGGAGGGCACGTATTGCGTGGAGCACTGGGTGTGGTGCAAAAACAATGAATACTGTTACACTGAAAAGAAATTAAAAAAAAAGAAGAAGAAAGAAATGACAGCAAATGAACTTGCAAATATGAGAATTTGTATGAACCAAGAGATTTTTGGAAAAATAATTGAATTTGAATCAGACATATTATCACTACTGGTACAGCTAACAGGAGGTAATTGAAAAGTTCCTCTAAGTTAAATTAACTCCTAAGACTATGATCTTTTTTTTTTAATGTGGTTATTGGTTTTGTGTTTTTTTCCTTTCTTTCCTTCTTAATCATGACCTGTATTGTAGTGTTGTAAATCTGCCTCACAAAATACATCCTAATAACTTTCCTTTTAAAAAAAAATGAAAAATAAAAAGACTAAGCCTCCCCCATCAGTTTAAAAAAAAAAAAAAAAAGATAGTGCTAAAGATAAGTCCTATAAAGAGAAGAGTGGAAAACCTAGAAAATCAAGGCAGAGGAAATAGGACCCCTCAGAGATGAATGAGAAAGAACACAGAGCTAAGGCCCTAGAGAAAACTACAAAGAAGGGCTTCTGAAGGGCTGTCATGTAAATATCTGAAAAGAAGAGCAAATGCAGGGACCTGAGGAAGGAAAAGCCCTAACACATCCAAGGAATAGAAAAGAGATCAGTATGACTAGAGCATAATGAATCGTAATGAATAAGAAGGGAAGGCAGCCAGGAATAAGATCATACAGAGCCTTGTAGTCAGGGCTTCTTTAAAGCGTAATCAGAAGGCACTAGAAAAGATTTAAGCTTTAGTATGATCACTGCTGCATGGAGAGTGAACTATAGAATGAGGAGCGGACAAGAGATTTGCAAGACACAGATGTGGAAGTTTTTCAGTTGTGGAGCCATTACTAAGAAATCATATTTAGGGTTTTTATTTGGAGTTCAGTATCTTGAAGAATGAAAAAGCTTTTGGCTGTGTGTAACAGGAAATGCAAAGAAACGTCTTCAAAATAAGTATGTTTATTATTTCACAAGATCACAGATGGAAAGACTGTAGGGCTGGCTCATATACCTGCCCTCTGTAAGCATTTTTCTTTCATTTTCTAGTTCTTCTGATGTACATGGTAACAGGGATGACCACACAAGCTCCAGGCATCTTTCTCATACCAAGCCATTTAGAGACACATCAAAAGGCATAGGGAGGGAAGAGGTGCTTTCTTCCCGGTCTATCTTTTTCAAAAGCAATTCAACAAAAAGTACTTGAAATAGACCTGCTTTTATATTTCTGGTTAGGACCAGCTCCTGTGACCACTCCTAATCTAATCACTGGCAAGCAAATAGGAATATCCATGATTAGTTTAGATCACCCAAGACTCACTGCCCAGCCCTCCACCCCACCACCCACACTACACCCAGGCTGCAAGGGCCTGCCCTCTTCTGAATCACGTGACTGCAGGACACCTGAACAAAAGGGTTTAATGGGCAAAGAAAAACAAGTAGCTACTGGTTGTTGATAAGCGAGGGGTGTTTACTTCAATATTGTTTAAACATTTAATAGAGGTCAGGCTGTGGATAGCACTGTGATCAGAATGCCATAAAGACAAGTTAAATACAGAATTGTTCTTACTCTTCCTGTTGCTTGAAACCTCCCAGTTAGCCCTACAAAACTCAGTTTACATGGAGAACTACTCTCTGACTTCATTTGGTTAACATTCTAAAGCTCATTTTAAAAGGCATACACATAAAATTCAGGATAATGATAAAAGGTATTTTACCTCTTGAAAAACAATGTTTTTTAATTTCTTTTTTAGATTGGTTGGAGGATGGTTTGGAAGGAGACATATAAATGAGAAGTGATAAATGAAAACGTAATGAGTAAAATGGCTGTTTAAAATAAGTGAAAAACAAAGGACCATTTGGTTAACGTTTTATGAGTAAGAATCATAAAATGCCAAAACAAGTTTCTCTAAAGTATAGTGCCTATTGTAATTGAAAATCACTTCAATGACATTTTATATTACTTTTTAATTAGTTGCTAATTTTAGAAAAAAGCAATGAAGACTGTGCTGAACAAAAGTTTTTAAAACAATTTTGTAATTAAAAAGTTGAGCAGTCAAATTCATAAATCCAAAATTACAAAAGGAGCTTTCATAGTGAAACATTACCAGATATTTCAATATAGAAAGGCAAATTTTCCTTGGCTCTTGCACAATTTCTAAATATTAAAGGTCACAAGTTACGCCTTTTCTGCTAATCTAGAAAACATTCAGGGTAACTAAGAAGAGCTTAGTAAGAGTACATACCATCTTGGATTTCTCCTTTGCACTGAGCTAGATATATTACTTCCATCCATGCAGTAGGAAGATGCACATGCTTCCCAGAGCCTAAGGTTTTGAGACCCAATTTTCTCTGTTACGAGTAAGCATGAAAAGGCAAACCAAAATGTATAGCTTCTTACAAATTTATTTACTAGTTTACTTATTTTGATTATTCCTTAGTTATATTCTGAAAGTCACTCTATGAGGCTATGCTCTATAGCTAGTTTATATAAAACTTTGTATTTTTGTTTATATCAATTTTATTTTTTGATATTTTATGTAAATTGTATTGGTGCTAAAATGTAAAGGATGTTTGTTAATATTCTGAGTTATATCATTAGTCATTTGCTAAAAATAATTCTCATTCTTTACTCTCAAGGGATTACTTCTACCTCATTATCCAACCCAGAAAATGCATCTCTGATTCTAGAAGGAAAAGTATATTGAATGTGATTCAACAGAAATTAGCTTCATGCCAATTTGCTGGAAAACTCTGGCTACTTCCCTGTGAACGGACTGAAATTAATGAACCTGAGATAGATACCAAGATTGCTACTCTTCCCTTAATGGGCCCACTCCTGGGGCTTCCCCAGGGAGCAGTTGGACAATTGGACAGAAGCTCATTGATGAATGTATCTGCTAGCACCTCTCAGTATGCATACTTGCCAGAAGAATATTCTTTTTCTAATCAAATTTTTTCCAAAATTGTAATGTATGTGAGCAACAGTGAAGTGGAATGCTGGGAAATCACCACTACCACAACAAAAAAGATGGCTTAATATATGTTCCAGTTCTGTGCGACTTTTATTTCATTAATTTTTTATATTATGTATATTGGTAATATGGTAGATATGTACCATATGTACATATATATATACCAAAATAAATATGTATATGGTATATGTATATTTGGTAATATGTATATTACTTCTCTGCCTAACACAAACTGGATCTAATGTAAGAAGAGCAAAACAAGGATTTATTTCACTTCATGTTCTGTTTTGATATGTGTTTGAAAATTTGGAAGCTAATGCATACTGTTAAAGAATGTATTTTCTATAAGTTTGGTGAATAGTTATAGAGAGAGAACAGAGTATATTATGTATGTATTGTGAAGGTTTAGGGAAGCTTCCTTTCTTCTTTGAGACACATGATATCTCAGTCAACATTTTTTTTTAAGGAAAAAGTGGAATTATCATAATCAAAAATTTATTTGCCAGCCTTTCATATTTTGTGGTGAGCTCCTGGACTAGTATCAACAGCTAGCTATCTTCTTCAATAATTTGTGGAGAATCTTCACCTAAAAAGCCCTTTGTCATTGAATTATCTGGTTATCAGCTTTAATTTTACTTTGCATTAATATCTTTAATGATACTTAATGACTTTAAAAAGTTATTTCTTATTTTTACTTTTGATATTTTAGAACATGTAACCACCCACCAACTAGAACAGAAAGTCCATATATTAAATAATCAAATAGTGTACTATTACCTTACATCTGAGAATGGTTTTTCTAGCTAGGTCCAACAACTCTTCCTTTTCTTTTGGATTTCTTGCTTGATTGAATCTCAAGATGAATTCTTTTGTGATTGAAAATGATGGACTAAACCAAAAAACAAATCAATCGTTATAGATAATAGTTCCCAAATTTTAATTAGTCAATTTCTAGGGGCTAAGCATAACTATTTTCTTTTGAAAAAGTACCTTACCTTAATAAAAATGTTTCATACACATACAGAGAAATCAGTAAGATAAGTAAATATATATATGTGTGTGTGTGTGTGTGTGTGTGTGTGTGTGTACAGGACTCCTAGATTTATCTAATCATACTCTTGGATTAAGAAACAATTCTCATGATGTAAAAGAATTTTGTAGCTTCTAAAAGAAAAGTTTCTGAAATGGTTGCCAGAAGTCTTGCTGGTATATGCCTTCTTCATAGGTAAAACCCAGCACAGCTCTGATTATGTTGAAGACTGATTTATCTCCTTTCATATAACAGTGTTGGTTCAATTTAAGCTAAATTTTTATTCCCTACATGCAAGTGAAATGCAACTGTGGCAGCAGTAAAATGAGCAAAGGAGGAAAGATGTATGTGGCAAGGTCAGAGAGGTGACAAGTATCAGATTAACTCTGGATGAGATGAGAAGTTATTGCAGGGTTTTGATAAGAGGAGTGGCATGATTTAGCTTAGGTTTTAATAGGCTCATTCCAATGTCTATTGAGATTTGGAGTGTGGAAAGGTGGGAGGTAGCATGGAAGGAGGCACATGTATACTTAGGTGAGATGCAATAGTGGCTTAGATCAAGAAGATAGCAATGTCAGTAAAAAGAAGAGATTGGATAATGGGTATGTTTTGACATTAGCTCCAATTAAGACTGCCCAAAGAATTAGAAATTAAGCATGAGAGAAAAAAAAGAAAGAAAGAAAGAAAAGAGTCATGATTGAACTGAATAACTGGAAGGATGGAACTGCAGTTTTCTGAGAAAGGGAAGATTGGTGGAGAAGCAGATTTGGGGTGAGGGTAGAGAATAAGTTCAGTATTGGATATATTACATTTGAGATGACCATAGCCATCCTAGTAGAGACAGAGAATAGACAGATATATGAGCTTGAATTTCAGGGAGAAAAGTTCAGTCTAGATACATCAATTTTGGAGTCATTATTGAGTCATTAAAGACACATGTGGTATTTAAAGCCTTGCAAATAGAAAGGAACCCCTGGGGAAAGTACAGAGAGAGTAAACAAATATTTCAAAGAGAAGTAGGAAAAATAAGTTGACAGTATATGTAAGAGAATGAGTAGAGTGATTATAATGATATACCACAGGATTTAAGATGGGCATGGGATCAAAAGTGATATCAGAGGGGCGCCTGGGTGGCTCAGTGGGTTAAAGCCGCTGCCTTCGGCTCAGGTCATGATCTCAGGGTCCTGGGATCAAGCCCCGCATCGGGCTCTCTGCTCAGTGGGGAGCCTGCTTCCCTTCCTCTCTCTCTGCCTGCCTCTCTGCCTACTTGTGATCTTTGTCTGTCAAATAAATAAATAAAATCTTTAAAAAAAAGTGATATCAGAGGAACAGTGAATAAGTAGTAGAATCAATGAGTTGTTTATTTGTGTGGTCAAATAACTGTTAGAGTCATGCTATCAGAACAAGCGGTCCAGAAGAATAAAACACATTTTTGTAACAACTTACTATATTCAGAATTTACTGAGTTAGTTGTTTTGTGGGATACAGGGAAAAAATACATGAATAAAAATCAGATTTTGCCCCTGCATAATTCACAGTCCTATTGAGGAGACAGATGTATGTAAAAGTAATGGTGCCTTAACGATCATAGAATAAGCAGAGATATTGACCGTCTCCTATTAGACTTTAAAGTGGGGATACAAGAATGAAATAAAAAAACCCTGCCCTCATGGAGCTTGTAGTAAAACAGAGGAATAGTTGAGGTGTTAGCATGCACAAGCTTTGCTAGAACTGGGCATTTTGAAATTAGTAATTTCATCCTTGATTTCATGTTCTCTATCTCACTCTTGCCCATGGAGACATCTGCTTAGATAGATACAGTGTAGGCTGGCTGAAAACTCTTTCTTGATAGTCATCTGGGATGACATTTCTTTGATGCTCATGAAGAGTCCAAAATAGCTTTAATCGTCCCATTTGTACAAAGTGCTATGGGAATTACAAGAAGATAAGGAATCTTTGAAAACATGGAAAGTGAATGCCTTTCAGCTTTCTGTATAGATACTGAATCCCTTAATTGGTGTCCCATAGCTCATGTCAGTAAATATTTAGTGGGAAATAAATATAGCTATTTGAACCATGTCTAGCCCATCACAAAGAAATTGAGGTCGTTACACAAATTATCATATAATGATATACAAATAACACCTAAGAAGCAAAAAAGACACTTTAAAAGTAAATATAGGCATTTGAATAGAAAATATACTTTGGCTTCCCACATTCGAATTTCTTCACACATTCTATTTTCTTCAAAAATAAATGTAATGTATTGTAAGTATATAAGTGCAGTCCTGTGGAATAGATAGTAAATAAAGAGCATCATTCTAATTTTACATATAGAGAAAATATACTTTATTTTAATAACCTACCTAAACTATTCATCAGAACTTTTTTTTTTTTTAGCTGACAACTCATTTGTTTAGTAAATATTTAAGAGAAGTCTCTTACACACAAGATATTTTGCTATATACAATGAGGGTGAGAGGAGAAATCAGATTCAACCTCAGAAAGTTCCCAATTTGGAAAAAAAGAAAGAAAGAAAGTTCCCAATTTGGAAGGGAAATGAGATGCAACAAAAAAATGTGCTAAAAAAAAAAAAAGAAATCCTGTAGGATTTAGAAGTAGAAATCATGATTCCAATGATTTCTAGACATATAATCTTTGCTTAATCACTTAATCTGTGTGAACTGTCATTTTGCATATGTGGAAATGAGAAAATCTTGTAGAATTCTGGGAAGTATCAAATCAGAACACAAAGTCTAGTTCCTGATACATATCAAGTGCTGAATGACTGTTAGTTATAAGCAATACTGTTTTTGGTTAAAGGTTCAAAAAAAGCTTCTTTGCAGAAATGGCACTTGAGCTACACCTTGAACAGTGAAGAACTGGAATGTGACAGAACAGCGACTGTCCTTTCAAAATTCTTTCTCTGCCTTTTCTTTGGCATATGATCACCTAGCTACTCTATATTTCCCAGTCTTTCTGGCTGCTAGATATGGGCACATGGCCAAGCCAGTGGGATATGAGCAAATGTAATATATGCAAATTTCAGGTCACCTCTAACTTAAAAACATACCATTTTCTCTAGAATGATGCTTTTTTTTCCTTCCTGTGAAGTGGAACAAAGACACAGTGCTGAATCAGCTTTGATTAGGAAGATGAGTACAACACCCTATGAGATAATGAGGGTCCTGAGTTTCTCACTGACCCCAAAAGCAGAGCTGTCCTGTCAGCCTTGATCCATTGACTTTTTATGTCAGATAATACATTTCTATCTGATATAAGCCACTGAAATTAGAAGTTTCTTTCTATAGTTGTTTCAAATTTATCCTAACTAATACAAATAGGACCAAAGAGAAGAAATAAGAAAAAATAAGAATTTTAACCCAGCATAGACAGAATCCTTAAAATCAAGATAGGAAATGAAGATGGAAATTCTGGGTTGAGAACAAACATAAATGGCATTGAAGAGTGGTCTATGGCAGAGATTCATAGACGCCTACATCAGTGTTTATTCTCCTTTTTCTTATGAAAAGATTCTTTCTTGCAGTTAGGTGTACCTGTATGTCTATGTTTCAGCTAGTAAAGGTAAGTAAAATGTGCCTGTTCCATGCAAACAAGCAATTCTAGACTGAGATACCAAACAGAATGAAGATAAAGAGCATGACCAAAAATACACATCTGCAGGGATATCAAAACTAAGTACAAAGAGATCATTAGAGTTAATGTTTAGAAGGTCTGTGGAAATCTTCGAGAGTGGTTTCACAGGGTGCCCAGGTGGCTCAGTTGGCTAAGTGACCAATTTCAGCTAGGTCATGATCTCACGGTCATGAGATCAAGCCCTGTGTAGGGCTCCATGCTCAGTGCAGAGTTTGCTTCAGATTCTTTCTCACTCTCCCTCTACCCCTCCCTCCACTTGTGTTCTCTCTCACTCTCCCTCTCTCAAATAAATAAATAAATCTTTTTAAAAAAGAGTAATTTCACTAGTGAATTACTTATACTGAGTTGAGTTTAGGGATAATAAAAATCTGTTATCTGAAAACATTCTGCAAAATACAAAGCTGTAAGGTCTTCATGATTAGTGCCTGTGTTGGCCATGAATACTGTACAGTTTCAGATTCACTTGATTCCTGCCTGCATGATCTTTATGGCCCAAAGAGTGAGCTGTCCCTCCTCTTCTACATTTGGAGTAGCCATGTGCTGGATGACACAAACTGGAAGTATGGATGAGTTAGCACCTATGTAATGAATCTTGACCAAAGAAAACACTAAACAAAAACAACAGATGAGATGAATAACCCTTCTCATTTCTCCATTGCATGGTCTACTATGAGATGTGGCTTCCTCCTGAAACCATGCCTTAATGAGTCCCATCATACCAAGTATGGACCTGTCTGCTATATTTCATCTTGCCAAGTTGTGATTTAGTGCTCCAGGTAGTAATGCATCAAGGTTTCCTGCCTCATTTTCCTTTTTTTTTTTTTTAATCTTTAGTGTACTGACTTTGCATTTATTTGACCCCAAATAAATTATTAGAATTTTAATCCTCTTCTCATATTCTGCCTTCTAAAGACTTGGGCTAAGACAGTGGTATAAGCCCCATTATAAGAAGACTATGATTTCTATGATTTTGTAAGACTCTACATACTTTGTACAGATATTCTCACCAGTAGCTACTGATCTCTCATCTGGGGTAATACATTCTAAAAGAAGCTACATTTAATTGCATGTGTTCATGCTCTTTATGGCCATCCAGATCCAACCATCCAGATTTTGGCTAAATCATCTGTAGCCATCCCCAAATATGATAATATAGATGTCTCAGGCTAAAATTAACAGACCTGATTACAAGGTCTTAGCCATTTAGAATTTCACTAAAGACTTATAATAATTCAGATAAATGAAAAACATACTATAGATAAACTAAACAAATGACCAGAATATAAATGTAAGTCTAGAAAAGTTTCTTCTTGCTGCTGACAACATACATTTATAGCCCATACTACAATGCTATATTGTATTATAAATGTATGTTTATCAAAATCAGTAACATTATATAGATATGTACATATAGAGCATTTAAAAATATTTAGAGCATGTATTTGCAGAGCACATTTTCTAACTATAAAAGGGTCAAAAACATTAATAAAAGGAAAAATTTCAGGTTTATTAACATTTTAGGAAACTTTGAAGACTAGAGCCTCCCAAATATTAAAAAAAAAAAAAGCAGCTTCTGTGAGAAAGAGGTAAATTAATCTAATAGCTTGACTAAATCTTCCTAATGTAAGAGTTACATTCCCTTTTATTTTTTCCAGTCAGCTAAAATAAATGTATGTATTTGATGTAAGTCTTCAAAATCTTCCAGTCTTCTGCACCTCTGAGATGAAGTAAAAAAAGCAACAGACTACACACAATAAAATAAACTTACTTAAGAAGAAAATCGTAACAAAATAGTATACTCTGAACCAAATAATCCATTTTAAGATTGTGTGATTTTCTCTTTGGTCTGGAATAGACTTTAGTACCTCATCTGAAGGATTTACAGGGAGCCCTAACTGTGTCTCCAACGGAATCCACACTAGGCCTGCAAAAACACATGTTTTAAGGAAGAATACGTGAAGCAAATACAATATGAGGCATATGACAATTCATGTGACATCTAAGAAGAAAAATAAAGGTTATGTTCCTTCATCCAAGACAGGTCTCTGCTTCATCTCAAACAGCTGGTGCCAGAAACAGAATCTGGTTTCCTTTGGTACAAGGGGCAATGGAGACAAGACCAAGTATGTTTTCTAAGTGACCATGCAGTAAGCAAAAGCCAGGATTTTCAAGGTGCAGGAAACTTGGACTCCCTCCACATTGCCTAACTAAATGCCTAAGGTAAAAGCAATCAGAACTAATCCCAGTCCCTTCTTCCAACCCCAGGGAGCTGTAGAGAAGGCTGCTATGGCGCTCAGCAGAAAAGTAAAGAGAATGGAAAAACATGTGTGTGTATTTGTGTGTGTTGCTGAGATCAGTCTTAATGCAGATTTACACTCCAGGCAGATTTAAAACTTGGGTAACGAGAAGTAGTCACAAGGAAAATGTCACATATCAGAATAAACTATTCAAAGTATAGTAAAAAGAGACCAAAAAAAGAAAATGGAGATGAAAGAGGGGAAGGTCAAAAATACAATGAAATGATCTAATAGTAAAAACTCTCAGAAGGAAAGAAAATGAGTTGTCAAGGTAATTTCTGAAGAAACAATATCTGATAACTTTTTAGGAATCATGACACAGTCCTCAGATTTAAAAGGTTTGAGAGATCCATGCAAATAATTTTTTAATAAAATTACATTCTGACACAGCATTGTAAAACTGCAGAAAATGCAAGACAATAAGAAATTTTTGAAAGCACCCAAGGTAGGAGGACACAAACTAATATTAAAGAAATAACATCAAAATTTCACCTAATGTCTCAACAGCAATAATGGAAACTATGAGTGGAATGACATCAGTCTGCTGAGGAGGGAAAAGAAAGGGAATAAAAGTGATAACAGACCAAAGATAATTCTATATTCAGTTTTAAATTTCCTTCAAGAATAAGAATAAAATAAAAGTATATTCAGACTAACAAGATCAGATTTTTCTCAATAAAAAATTCTAAAATTTTAGAAGTTTTATATCTGGCTGGCAAAAGAAAAACAAGGCCTAAGAAGCAAAAAAGGAAGGCAAAGCAAGGAAAGTGATTAACAATAAATAAAATATAAAGGAACATTAACTACTTAAATTAGTAATGAAGTCTAGTGGAAATTTAAAAACCACAAATTAGAATTAAATTGCTAGATAAGGTTTGAGGACCCTAATTATACTTAATCATGAAACGTTTATTCTTTTTTAATAAAGATTGAGATAAGCATGCTTAGAATCGGTAAGAGAATTTAGCAATATAATTGCATGTAAAATCAATGTATAAAAATCGATTGTATTTCTCTCTTCTGGAAACATAAAAAAATCTATTTAAAAATATATGTGTAAAACATATAATTGTATACAAAATACCAAATACAGGGGAATAAAACCTAACATCTTAAAAGATGCACAGTCCCCCTAAGAAAGAAACATTAAAACTTCACTGAGAAAATTTCACAAGTAACTAAATAAATGGAAGTTATATCTTGTTCATAAATTGGAATCCTTATTATAATAAAGATGCCATTATCCTCAAACTTGTCTATAGATTCAGAAAAATCCAATAACCAAACCCAACAAGCTTAAAAAAAATGACAAGCTGACTCTAAAAATTATATTAATGAAGAAGAACATATATGGAAAATCAGTCATGTTGACTACTGTTATTATTAAAATGATGATAATAAGGTAGCGTGGCACTGGTATAGAGACAAATGGGCCAATGAAACAGAATAGACAAGCTAAAAACACCCATTATATGTGGATACTTTATGCAATAGTTGTACTAGCAAAATATTGGAAAAGGATGTTCTTTTCAAAACATGGTGTTAATCAACTAGGTATTTAAATAAAAAAGGAAAATTAGACCTGTAGGTAACACCATTAACAAGAATTGTTTCTACACGTATTACATGAAAGGCAAAACAGTAAGGTTTTTAGAAAATAATGTATAAGAATATCTACATGATATTGAGGTGGAGACAGATTTCTTAACCAAAATACAAAAATCACTAATCATAAAAGACTGAGAATAAGTTCTGTTCACTAAATGGCATATATCCCATGATCCAACAATTCCACTCCCAGTTATGTACCTTAGGATATGTGCTAGGATGCTTGTACAAGATTGTTCATGGAAACGTTGTTCATAATAACCAAAAACAGGAAATAATTGAAGTGGTCAAAAACAGAAGAATGAATGGATAGTTCACAGTATGTTAATGAAATGGGCAAATGGAGTGAGTGAACAAAATCAGCAATGTAAAGTATATAACTACTCTTAAAATCATAATGACTGTATTAATTTCCAGGACTTCTGTAGATGAAGGCATCATGTAGATGAAAGGCATCACAAAAACAAAGTTAAAAGACAAGTCAACGACTGAAAGAATTCATAACAAATATTTAAGAATATCAAATATCAGTAAGAAAAAAACACCTAAAAAATAAGTTGGGAAATAAACAGATAAAAGTAATTCTAATGGTAACAAATATTAAAAGATGCTGAGTCTCATTAGTTATCAGAGATTTTAAAAAGTTATCAGGCAAGTCCCACTTGTGGCCTATTACAATGACAAATAGAAGAAGTCTGACAATATCAGGCGATGGCAAAGATGTGGGAGGTGATACTTTCATATACTGTTGGAGACAATGTAAATTGATTGAGATACTCTAGACAGCAAGAGAATTAAGGAAAATTCAAAAAGTGAGGAATAAAAAAAATCCCACTCCAAAGCAGCACTTACCCAGATATACAAAGAGAAATATATAATGATTTTTACTATAGCACTGATTCATTGGCAAAAAACTGGAAAATAAATAAAATAAGAAGTATGCATTATATGTAACACTATACAGCCACTAAAATGAATAAAGAAATAATTATCAATAATAAAACATAATTACTGGCATGGATTGAATTAAAAACATAACACTGACTTTTAAAAAATCAAATCACAGATAAATAAGTTAGGTATAATTAATTTATATTTACATAAAAAATGCAATTTTATATTCATTCATATTTAAATAGAAAAATGAAGTGAAATGATAATATACCACAATTATTTTAGTTGGGAGGGCAGGTGGTCAAAGAGCTTCACTTTTATCTGTTGATCTAGTTTTTGTTAAGAAAAATATTTGAAACAAATGTAACCAAAAGTCACTATGCAAGTTTTCTTATATAGTCTATAATTCTCTTCATTTTTAAGTTTTTAAAAATTTCTTAAAATCACAATTTTTAAATTATCAACAAGATTTGATCTGATAACTTCATTTTAGAAACTTTATCCCAAGAAATAATTTGAAATGCAGAATGACATTCTATTTTGGCTTAATTTGAAATAGCAAAGGACACAGAAATAACTAAAGTGCTTTGTAAGACGGTAGTTATTAAATACTTTCTCTTATGCATTTCACAGATTATTATGGCAGCTTAATAGACATATATAATTATAGGACAATGTTTATTTTAAACAGAAAGTGCAGAATTCAAAATTTCAGAAATATATGTTCATTAAAAATTATGAATCTATTTATTTAAAAATAGTAAATACATTGAAATACATATTTTAGAGCTATATATGATTTTAAAGAAATTGTTCATAATATTCTGTGCTTTCTAAATTCTATAATGCATATCAATCTGCAAGTTTATTAACATGAAAATTCTTTCAAACTTACTTTGGTTTATTTTTCTTTCTTTTCCTTAAATTTTGAATTTTAGACTTCAAGAATTTTTCATGATAAGAAGAAGATATCACTCCTAATTTATTAATCATGGGTGACTTGTTAACAGACATACTCACAGATCATAAACCTAAAGAAAAATGTTAAATTTTATGTTAGAGTACAAATGCACTTTTAGTACCAAAGAATACATTACAAACAAATTCATGATTTGTGGGGAAAAGGGTGGCAAGAAGGTAAATCAGACTTAGGAAAGAAATTATAGTAAGGAAGAATTTAAGTTTAATATGTCAGACCCAGGAGTCAAACCCAACTTTGAATTGAAAACCCACATTCTATTATGTTACTATTAAAAACTTATCCTTTCATATAATATAGCCTTTACTATACTTTAGCTATTGTATCAGCAAAACCATTAGAAGAACAATATGGCATAGTAGTTAAGAAGATACAATCAAATTGATTTACTTAACTGCTTGTGCCTCAGTTTCCCCACTTGTATAATGGGAATAGTACCTCCCTACAGAGTTGCTGTAAGAAATAGGTCAATATATGTAGATTGGTTAGAACAGAGCGTGGTATATAAGAAGCTTTATGTAGGGGCTTGTGATCATTATTAGATTACTATGTTTCCTGCTTTCTAAAATTACTTGTAAATTTTTTTTGTCTTCTGTCTTTTTACCAGTTAGATTACGTTTTCTCAGCTTGTCCTCATATCCAGTTTTATTTTCCTTTTGAAGTATGTCTGAATACATTTTATAAGACCAAAACTAGAAGACACTATTTCTGTTTAGTACAGTATTTAAATAGCAAAATGAAGTATTGAAATACATAGACTTACATTGAATTATTTTGCACTTAGTTTTTAAGCTAGGTAATTGTTAAAACTGATTAAGGTTCTAACAGGAATCAGAAAACACACTCAAATGGAGTAACTAAATAAAGGGACTCCAAAGAGATGGGCAGAGTTATTCAAACAAACAAACAAATACAATGAAATAATATCTGAGATGGTGCCATTCTCAAGAGTCTGGAAGAAAGGGGTGAAACCACCACTCTTGGAACTGAGGGAAAGAAGGAGCCAGAAAGAATAGCTGTAGGAAAGTGGTGTTTGATTTAAAAACAAACAAACAAACAAACAAACAATCCAAACAAACAAACTTTGGCCTTTGGTCTAGACTTACAGCCCATCTGAGGTTGCCTGCTAAGAGGGAGACTAGAGACAGGAATTTTGATCTCCCCCTTCTGCCCTTCACTCCAATTACCTGCCTGCACTTCCCATTAGCTAAGCCAAACTAGAAGCCAGAGAAGGTATAAGGCAGAGTGGAAAAGGACAGACAATGGATCTGAAAGGCCAATGGGAAAATATCCAGTACAAAATGGATTATAAACACAAAACATTATTATCTATTGCTATTGGTTATAGCAAAGTCTGCTTCTAATAATCTACATCCATTTGAATATAAGGTAAATGTATTTTTAAGTCAGTAGCTATACTGGGTTATATATATAGGGATGTCACTTAGAGTGACCCTAATGTCAATATATAATATAAGTTTTTCCCAAACAGGACTAATATATTCAGGAGTTTAATTTTTTTAAGTTTTTTTTTTATTATTATTTATTTGACAGACAGAGATCACAAGTAGGAAGAGAGGCAGGCAGAGAGAGAGGAGAAAGCAGGCTCCCTGCTGAGCAGAGAGCCCGATGTGGGGCTCGATCCCAGGACCCTGGGATCATGACCTGGGCCAAAGGCAGAGGCTTTAACCCACTGAGCCACCCAGGCGCCCCAGGAGTTTAATTTTTAACAGTGAACAACATCATATTGGATTCACATCAGATGTTCCTACCTTAAAAGGAACTCAGGAAAACAATTACGAACAATTAATGATGGAGATAAAGAACACATAAGCACCAAACAACAATAATAGAGAAATAGGGATATTCAAAGGGTTAATTTGATAAATATGGTAACAAATGTTGCACATTTATGGTTGCTATTATGTTTGACAAGTATTTATTGTGAGTCATACAAAATTATGAAGATAAGATGTTTAATTACACTAAAACAAAGTTTTCAAAAGAAGACAAAAAGAAACCCACCATTCATAAAACATCACATATTCCAGAAATAGAGATTAGAAATACAAATTTGAGTCAGACATACTGTAAGATAAATTATTTTTAAAAAAATTAATTCCAAATGAATAGAAAGGGAAAAATATAGGCAACCTAGGAGGAAAAATAATTGAAGGGAAATTGAATGGAAAGCAAACTGGTCTTTGTGTGCATGTGTTAGGCATACTGACCTAGAGCTCTTAGCCATTTAGTGATATATTTTATAGGATTGACTACAGTCAGCCATATTTTTTGATATTTCAAGAAGTTAGAGATTAAGAGTTTGAACTAATCATTGAAGCTATTTTCCAAAGATCCTGCACATCTGCTGGTACTAGTGGTAAGTATTTGCACCATCTGCTCAACACGCAAGTTCCACAATACCCTGTTGATGAGACTCCCCCAGATTGGATGGGTGGAAAAACTCAAAACCGCTGCAGAAGTTTTTACATGCTTCCTCTCTATTTCTGCCTTATCTTGGGAGTACCAATCTTGAAAGTAATAGTGCCAGTGCTTAACCAACAATATTTTATTATTCAAATACTATTTGAGTAGGAGATAGTATGACTCACCAATGTATGTTATTAGTTAGGATTGCTTTTGACTAAGAGTAAAAGAAACAACAACCAAATAATCTCAAGTTTCTCAAAAAAGATGAATGTCCTCAAAAATATTTCCCAATGAGATGTTAGAATTAAATCCTCAGTGGGGTAAATAAATAAAGAAAACAAGGTTTAAAATGACACCCCATTCTCCAAAGATACCTCAAAATAAAGAATCTAAAAATGTTATCAACTTTAACAAAATTTTTAGTTTTTTCATGTGAATATTCTTCATTAAGGACTGCCTGGGTGGCTCAGTTGGTTAAGTGCCTATTCTTGACCTCAGGGTCATGAGTTCAAGTCCATCATTGGGCTACACACCAGGTATGGAGACTACTTAAAGTTTTTAAAATTTTTTTAATTGCCCACTTCAGATAAATATGCAAGGTAAATCTGTAGATTTTTCATAGGATCAGTTTCTCAGTAGAATCCAAACCCTGAAGCTATCGGCAAGGAATTATTGTTATTATTATTATTGATGTATGTACAGTAGGGCTTTTTTTGCATTGTATTACTATAACTGGAGTCACATATACTAGTCATTAGTGGAGCCAACACATCAAGGTTCTAACACACTATTTGATAAAAAGTTTTGTCGCACCATTTATTAAAACCTACTAGGGTAATCATTTGTATTATTTTATTCCTTCTCAGGACAGTTACATTCAGGGATATTGACTGGTGAATTGTATTAAAAGGACAGAGAAAGACATATATCAAGCTCTTCAGTAACACCATCTGAAAACAAGAAAAGTAAAATGATGACAAGAAATTTTATTTTTCTGCTATCACATATAAGACACATTTCTTTTATTCTGCTGAGAAATCACAATCATTAAATATAAAGACATTAGAATGGACTTATTAAACTGGATTATTTCACTTTTACATCACTGTCAAAAAATAGACATTTTTCCTGAATTGGCAAAACATTATGTAAATTTAAAATGAGCTTTTTAAAAGTTAAATAGATCTTTAAGATTGAAATACACTTATACTCTCTATAGTACCCAAAACAAATGGTGCTGACTGAATTTGTAGCTTGAAATGAAAACAAAATCTTAAGTGAATAAAAATGATCTTAAGGATTGGATTGCTCTCTTTTTTAAATAAAGTCTTCCCTCGAATACTAAAATGAAAGGTAAAAAAAAAAATCATGGGGCGCCTGGGTGGCTCAGTGGATTAAGCCTCTACCTCTGGCTCAGGTTATGATCTCGGGGTCCTGGGATAAAGCCCCGCATCAGGCATCAGGCTCTCTGCTCAGCAGGGAGCCTGCTCCCCGCGACAAACCTCCCTCCCCGCTCTTTCTGCCTGCTTCTCTGGCTACTTGTGATCTCTCTCTGTCAAATAAATAAATAAAATCTTTTTTAAAAAATCATTATTTTGACAGCAACTATTTCTTAGACCAACCTCTTCATTTGCTCTAATTTTCTTGATTTATACAGTACTCCACCATAGAGAATGGTCTACAGTAACTCGCATTTTCTTTACCACTTTCCAGGGATAGTTTCCAATAATTTAAATAAATTCCACAGATTTACCTAGCATATTTATCTGAGGTGGGTAAAAGTGTGATTTTTACCTTTTACTTATATCAGGTATGATTTTTATATTAAATTATATCTACCCTTAAATTTATTCCAGTGCAGAACATCCAATATCTGGAATCTAGTTTCTGTTGTCTCAGCACTGAAATCATCTTCCCAAGGCTGACAACCATTTCCCGGTAAGCAATTCCATGAGAGTTTTTCAGTACTGATCTTGCCTAAATCGCACTAAAGTAACTGACCCTGCCTACCATCCCTTCTAGAAATAATGCGTCTTCTTTTTTCATTTATCATGACACTCCACTCTTGGCTTATCTCCCTACTTCTGTGAGGTTTCCTTCTCACACTTCTGTATGGTATAACAGGGAACCATGAAAGTGCAGGAATCAACAGCATGTTTTAAATTCTCGCACCAGCACAGATTATATCTGGGTCACTGTGCAAATTACTTAACTGTCAGGTACCTCGGTTTCCTCATCTATAAATAGGGATTATAATAGTATCTGGCAATGTGGCCACAAATGAAGGAATGCTGGCAGCCACAGAAGCTGAATGAAGCAAGAACAGATTTTTACCCTAGAGCATCTGGAGGAAGCGCAGCTCTGCCAACACTGTGATTTATGCCTTGTGAAACTGATTTTGGACTTCTGGCTTCCAGAATTGTGAGAAAATGAATTTCATGCCACCAAGTTTGTGGTAATTTGTTACAGCAACCACAGGAAACTAACACACAATTCATTGATACCTTCATAAATACATAAATATTTATTTTTTAAATATTATTGGCTATAATGAAAAATTAAAATAAAAAGCCCAATTGTTCAAAATAATAATAATAATAATATA